GTGCCAACCTCTTACTAGCACACCTCTGTTCTGCTAGTAAGAGGTTCTGCTAGGTTTTACTAGGGTTGCTCCCTGACAGCAGTTCCTTTCTGCCCTTGTTGTTTGAGAAGGCTGGGGACATGCTCCAGTGCCCTTTTAGCTGTCTCCCCAGCCCCTGCTAGCACTTGATGATTCAGAACTCAGGGTGGGCAAAGGGGCTGGAGTAGCTTGTGGACGTCACTTTTGCTGTCAGCTGGGAGGTCACCTTGAAGCAATTTTGAGACCAGCCCAGGCTTGGAAGATGGACCAAACTTTAGACATAGAGCCAACCTGGACAGGAAGCCGGGCCCAGAGGGCATGGTGTCCAGGTGCATGCATTCCATCAGAGACCACAGAGGAAATGACCGATGGCGCATATCTGATGGCGGCTTCCTGCGAAGAGCAGGTTGCTGCCCATCTTGCTGGGTAGCCAGGAGACACAGCCAGTTGCAAGCCATTGAGACTTCAAGGAGCTTCACAAGAGCCTTGGGTTGAAGATCAGGTGGATTAAACCCAGTGCACAGGCCAGTTAATAAATGGAGCAGCCAACACTCTATGGCAGGGTTCAGATGCAAGCCCATTTCAGGAAGAAGCGCAGCCTCAATTCAAACCACCCCCCACGGTCTGTACTTCAGTGAAACAGCGTTTTTACCCCAGTGCCAGTGAGTGTGTTGTGTTCCTCCTTGAATGTTTGATTAGCTTGCCTCCCCTCCCGGGACCACCGCCTGCAGTGGTCGTTAAGTGGCTAGCGGATTGTTTACTTGTCTGTCTGTTAGAGGCCACGGAGGGAGGCCCCAGCAGCGGGCATTTCTGGCTCACACACCTGCCAATCCCAACTTTACCTGGAGTGAACAGATGGTCTCTCTACTCAGACCCATTTCCTTCCCCGTGCCCGGGCCCCCTGCCAGCCTGGGCCCACTCAGGAGCCCTGTCCTAATGCTCGCTGCCGCTGCCGAATCGGGGACTTCTTAGAATGACAGACCATAATGGATGAGCGCTGCGGCGTGCTCACAGCCCCGCACCCCGACCTCCCGCGGCACCAGGCCTGCTTCCATCCCCTGGCCTCCAGCCAGGCTCCAGCAGCAGAAGCGGGCCAGGGAACGGGAAAGCCAGTGGAGAGGACACCGTGCATTTTGTTTATTAAAGTTAATTGGTGAATGCAGGCCCAGGGAAGCTTGTGATTCATTAGCATGCTGATTAATATGCAGCTGCTGAGTATTAAGAAAAATGAAATGGAAAGGACGACATCCCCCAAGGAGAGGTTGGAAAAAGCAGGACGCTCTCGGCAGACATCTGAGGCAGGCCTTTGTCCCAGGACGAAATATGAATGTGCCGAATTCAAGTGATTTTTCACCATTTGCATAGCTGCTACAAAGACCATTCCAGCTCATTCCCGGGGCCTATGACAGAACTGACAGAGCCATCAGCAATTCAAGCAGGATGGGAGCAGTTACACAGAAGGAAGCACCTGCTGAGTGAGCCTGGCACTCTGGGGGCCACAAGGCAACCTCAAAGCAGGCTTGTGAGCTGGGAAGGTCCTACCCAGTTCCAGCTCCGGGACAGTGCCTGCCCCCTGCTAGTGTGGTCACATGTGAACTGGCAGCATACCCTAGTCATGAGGGGCAGAAGCTCTGAGGGTCACCTCTGTGAAATCTGCACAGGAAAAGTCATTTCATTCATGGAAGATGGGTGTGGGGGGGAAGGTTCCCCGTCGCTGGTAATGGAGGACAGAAAGTAGATTCAAGGGCACAGGTGTAGGCCCTCGGTGCTGTGCTGGAGAACTTGGACAAGACCTAGCGGCTGGCAAAGTCTCCAGCTTTCCTTGCGTCTTACTGGGTGGCTCTTGAGCCAGAAAAAAAGGCTCAGATGGGGAAAGTTTAGAAAAATAATTGTGCAGAGAAAGTGTTGACAACTCAAGATGTGTTTTTCTCGGCTTGTGGTTCACTCCTGGCTTCATGGTTGTGTGTCACCCAAGGCCTTCAGGAACCTCTCTGCAGACTTAAAATCTTGTAATTTAGAGCTGGAAAGACCTCAGGACAGCAAGGAAACCCCAGGTCACAGGGGAAGCAGGACCCAGGCTGGGAGTCAGGCCTGTTGGCTGCCATCCCCACTCTGGCACACTCTGGCCACTGACCCTGAGAAAGTGGGGCCCACACCACCTCAGGCCCCTCAGCCAGGAGGTAAAGATGACAAGCAGCCCAACTCCAGTCACAAACATGGCACCTGACACAGAGCTGATAGATGGCCTGTGCTTCCAGAGTGGTTCACGCAGAGGCGGAGGATGAAAGGAAGCTTACCTTGGACTTTGGTGCAACTCAGGCTACTCCTGGCTCAGGACTCAGGGATCGCTTCCAGCACTGCTCAGGACTGTGGTGTTGGGGATCAAACTCTGGTTTCCCAACATGTAAAGCATGGTTTTACTCTTTGGGGGGCAGGGGATTAGGCCACCTCCCAGTGGTGCTCAGGGGTTACTCTTGGCAGTGTTCAGTGTACCATTTGTGGCGTTAGAGATCAAACAAGTTGGCTGCATGCAAGGCAGTTTCTTGTTCTGGTTTTTGGGCCACACCTGGTGGTGCTCAGGACTTACTCTTGGCTCTGTGCTCAGGGATTAAACCCAGGTGAGTGACTTTCAAGGCATGTGCCCCACCCGCTGTGCTCTCTCGGGCTCCTTTGTTGAGTTTCTTCAGTGTTCGCAGATGAGGAAAAGGACTTCTTCCCCCAAGATTGCCGTGCTGTCCACAGTGGCCACATGTGGTGCTCTGTCGAGCCAAGCGGGATTGTTATGGATCTAGTCCACAGTGCTTTGCTATCTTTTTCTGAGCAGGTCTCTTCCCACCTGGCTCCCCTCAGCACTGTGCTCCCTATACATAGGCTTGTCACCTGGGGCCCCCTTGAACTATGCTGGGGATCCACAGGGCGTCACAGGGCCTCCTGCTATCACATCCCCTTGCCGCTTCTCTGGTGATGGGCATAGAGCTTGATGCCAGGTCTGGTGGGTAGCAGTGAGCAGCAGCAGCAGGTGCTAACATCTCTCCAAATCATGTTTTTTGGATGCCTCCACCCTTGGCAGGCCCACTAGCCTCTGGGGACTGGGGGGTGGCAGCATGTTGGAGACAGGAAGCTCTTCTAAGCAAGTGTCTCTCTGGAGCACGATTGGTGCTCAGTTGGTATGGCAATAACTGGCAGGCATTAGGCAGGCAGATCTCACCCTGCAACCTGGGGCAGGTTTTCTGGTGTAACCTGGCAGCGCCGGCCCTGCTGCTCAGGCTGAGTGTGTGGGTGAACAACCCAGCATCGCCCCTCACCCCGCCGCAACCCACAGCTCCGGTGCTCCCGCTCAAGAGTGGCTGTGGATGGAACAGGGCCTGTGGAGCGGCCAGTGCTGATGGGTCTCCTGTGCTTCCAGAAGTCCACTTCCCAGCCCTGCTATGGCCACCTCCAGTGCTGGCCGCCAGCTGATCGTGCTGGAAGGGAAGCTGGGGCCCTACTTTTCCTCTCTGGACTCAAGCATCGAAAGCCTGAGGAAGAGGGCCCAGGATCTGATCGAAAACATCAACGAGAGCAGACAGAAGGATCACAGCCTCATGAGCAACTTCAGGGATAACCTCAAGACCAAGGTGACGCCCCCGCCCCTGCCCCATACACACAGTGAGAAGCCCAGTGGTGTGGGGAAGGGGTGCTTAGGTCAGAGGTCAAAGGGGAGGGTTTGGGGCTAGAGCGATAGCACAGTGGGGAGGGCATTTGCCTTGCACGCAGCTGACCTGGGTTCGATTCCCAGCATCCCATATGGTCCCCTGAGCACTGCCAGGAGTAATTCCTGAGTGCATGAGCCAGGAGCAATCCCTGTGCATCATCAGGTATGACTCAAAAAACAAAATAGGAAAAAAAAAGGGGGAGGGTTTGTAGGCAGCCAGCATCTAGTATCTAACTTCACTCTTGGGGCAACCTGACAAAGAACTTAGACCCATTCTACAGATGGGAAAGCTAAGGTTCAATTCATACCATTTTGGAACTTGTTTTATTCCTGGAAAGAGGAATATCCCTCTTCCAGAATCCCCCTGGTGATGGGGATTGAACTTAAGAGCTTGCACATACAAAGCATGTGGTTTGGCCCTTTGAGCCATCTCCCTGTCCCCTGGAACTGGCTGTTTAAATTTAACACATGGGGGTCAGAGCAATAGGACAGCAGGGTGGGTGTTTGCCTTGCAGCCAACCTAAGTTGGATCCCCCGCATCCCATAGGGGTCCACAAGCACCACCAGGAGTAATTCCTGAGCATCACTGGGTGTGACGGAAAAAGCAAAAAAAAAAAAAAAAATCCAATCCATAAAAAAATGGGGGTTGGAGTGATAGCACAGCGAGTAGGGCGTTTGCCTTCCACACGGCTGACCCAGGTTCGATTCCCAGCATCCCATATGGTCCCCTGAGCACCTCCAGGAGTAATTCCTGAGTGCAAAGCCAGGAGTAACCCCTGAGCATCGCTGGGTGTGACCCTCCCCCAAACAAAAAGAATTAAACAAAAAATCAACACAGGCAATTTTAGCCCCAATCACTAGGAGTTTTCTTCCCTTTACCATTTTTATGCTCAAGCGGGCCCAGTAACGTTTCCATCATGAGACTTGTTGTTACTGTGTTTGGCATATCGAAATACGTCACGGGTAGCTTGCCAGGCTCTGCCGTGCGGGCGAGATCCTCTTGTTAGCTTGCCAGGCTCTCTGAGAGGGGCGGAGGAATCAAACTCGGGTTGGCCATGTTGACCGCTTGTAAGGCAAACGCCCTACTACTGTGCTATCACTGGGCCCGCTCGAGCAAATCGATGAACAATGGGAGGACCATGCTCTTCAGGGACCGTGCTACCATTTTTATGAAGTAAATACAGAAATCTAAGCTGTCACCTTGGAGCAGTTGCCTGGTAATGCCTCCTGCTTGATTCTCCAAGGAAATGCCTTATTCTTTAAAAGATTTCAGAAATGACCGAGAAGCTAGAGGAGAAACTGTACCAGGTTTATAATCACCACAACAAGATCATTCAGGAGAAACTCCAAGAGTTCACGCAGAAAATGGCAAAGATCAGCAATTTGGAAATGGAGCTCAAACAAGTGTGCCACACCATGGAGAATGTGTACAAAGACCTGTGTGTCCAGCCTGAGGTATGACAGCTGTGCAGGGGATGGGGCATCCTGGTCAGGCTGACACTTACACCGGGAATCAGGAGGGGGCCCAGAGTTACATAAAGCAGGCAGGGCGCTGGCCTTGCACACTGCCAATCTAGGTTCAACACCCAGCAGCCCATATGGTCCCCCAAGCCCCATCCAGAGGGGTCCCTGAGCACAGAACCAGGAGTAAGCTCTGAGCACTGCCAGGTGTGACCCAAGAGCAAACAAAAGGAAGAAACCAGGACATTAGCAGCAGTGCTGACCCACACCACACCCCAGGGTGCCTGCCACCCCCACTGTGACCTGTGGTATTTGCCAGAGAAGCCCAAGAAAGGACCAGTCCCCTGGGCCCCCTTGACCATAGCAGTACCCACAGGTTCCTGGACAGTTGAGTAAATGTGGCCCACCTCCGGGTCGAGGTCAGACGCTGACTTTATTATTTCCTCCACCGTCTGGCCTGAGGTACGCACCCATGGCAGGACTGCCCATAGCATGGGGTCTCAGAAGGCTCGCTCCTTGCCTCTCCTGATCCCAGAGAAGGACGCCCCTTTTCTGTCAGAGCACCAGTGCTTTCGGGAGCCTTCAAAGGGGGAAGCTGGACTCGTTCTCCAGTGCTTCTCCCACACCTCCCAGCCAGGGCGCAGAGGCTGGGGCTCCCGGGCTAGGGCTCTGGGTGGTGGCCACACTCATTTGCCAGCCGTGAACGCCTGGATCCCGGTGATGGCCCTTCCGAGGATCAGAGCGTGGATGTCGTGTGTCCCTGTGGGACAAGCAGGGATGAGTGGCGTGCTTCACGTTGTCCTTTCCTGTCTCCCTCCCCCAGGTTGCTCTGGAACACGAGCAAACCCACAAAGACGGGACCTACTGACGGGGCCTTCAGTGAGCGGCTGCGCTGGGGTGCACAGAGCACTGCGGAGTGTGCTATCGGGATCCTGACCAGACCCCCGGCCTGGAGCTCAAGCTTTGGTGCTCCCCAACCTTGGCAAAGTCAAACCTTCCCGCCCCCCACCACAAAACTGATTAAATGGTTTGATTTTCAGGCCCGGCCGTGCTTCCTTCCCGAAGAAGCGGGGGGCCCTTCCTTATGATATTAGGGCGCGGGAGGCGAGGAGAGTGGGGGGTCAACTGGGGGCCTTCTCTCCTATAGAGCCACATCCCTTTTATAGGGCTCAAATTTTCTATTTATGGCCTAAAGCACAGCTCTGACCCCCTCCTCACCCTGTGAAGAACCTCTGGAAGCCTCAGGTCCCCCACAGAAGGCACAGCTGCAGGGACACCGTCCCTCTGCCCCTCCCCCACCACGTGAGCCCACCTTCATAGGTGTTCACTGCCTCCAGGTTCATGGCGTGGCGGATCACGTGGTACTCGTCCGAGATGCCATTGCCCCCCAGCATGTCGCGGGCCTGGCGGGCTATGTCCAGCGCCTTCCCGCAGTTATTCCTTTTCAGCATGGAGACCATCTCAGGGGTGGCCCTGCAGCGGGACAGGCGGGGGTTACCATGAGAGGACCCCACTCTGGGCCCCTGTGCAGACACCGAGCATCCCCCAGGGCCCCCCTCCTCGCCACCCCCTACTTGTCCTGATCCTTTAGGCGGCCAAGCTGCAGGCAGGCGTGAAGGCCCAGCGTGATCTCGGTGAGCATGTCAGCCAGCTTCTTCTGAATCAGCTGGTTCCGGGCCAGTGGGACGCCAAACTGGATCCTGGGAGGGGAGGGCAGAGTCAACCGAAGGGGTAGGGGCGGCCAGAACCCCACCAGGGGCCTCCCATGGAGAAGGACACCTCCGGGACATGTCAGAGTGAGAGACTCCAGTCCGAAGGGTGGAAACAGGAGTGTCACCGTTGGAGTGAGATGGAGCCCAAGCCCCACTCTGTCCCCACACACCTGTCCAGGGTGTACTGCCGGGCCGTGTGCAAGCAGAACTCGGCAGCTCCGAGGGCGCCCCAGGAGATGCCATACCGTGCATTGTTCAGGCAGCCAAAGGGACCCTGGAGGGGAGATGGGGGGGCTTCAGCCCCAGTCAGGAGGTGCTGCGAGGGCTGGGGAGAACCAGCTCAGAAGGAAGCCTGTCCCAGACAGCCCGGGCCTGCCCGCTTCAACCTGCACGCTGGCCGCTGACCCTGGACACGAGCCTAGAGGACCAAGTTGTGCTAGCCCCTAGGGGTCACTGCTGGAGTCTTAACAGGATGACCCTCTGCCACTGACACAGCTCTGGACACGCAGTGTGTTAACGGACAGTGGGTGGCTGCACCCCACACCACCACGCCAGCCTGGGCCCCAACACCAGCTCCCCAGGTAGACCCTGCTCACCCCCAGACCCGAGGCGTTGGGGAGCACATTCTCTTCGGGCACCTCCACCCCGTCCATGACAATCATGCCAGTAGCCGAGGCCCGCAGGGAGAACTTGCCCTCGATCTTGGGGGCTGAAAGGCCCCGCATCCCCCTCTCCAGCAGGAAACCCCGAATGCAGCTGTCCTCACACCGAGCCCACACAACGAACAGATCAGCCACAGGCGAGTTGGTGATCCTGGGGGTGAGGTGATGGTGAGGGGTCAGGTTCCCTGCACCCCCACCAGTTGCCCCCTCGAGCTCGGGCCCCACTGCTCACCAGGTCTTGGCCCCATTGAGGGTGTAGGTCTTGCTGGAGGGGTTGTGCTTGGCTCGGGTCTCCATGCTGCCTGGGTCGCTCCCATGGTTGGGCTCAGTGAGCCCGAAGCAGCCCAGGAGCTCCCCCTTGGCTGCAGGCACAAGACAGTCACCAGATAGCTGTCCCCATTCACCCCTGCACTGAAAACGCGACCTGTCCACTAAGCCAGACCCAGGCTGCACCACTCCCCAGAAAGGAGTTGGGGGCCCCAGGAATCCAGAGGAGACAGCTATACTGAAGGGCAGTGGGGAGTTAAGCAGGAGGTGTGGGGAAGAGCAGGCCAGCAGAAGAACAGGCTGTGCGAAGGCCCTGTGCTGCATTAGAGGGTTCTGAGCTGCTGAGGCTGGCTGGGAGAAACTAGCAAGGGGCCAGTGGGGCTGGATCGGCAGTACAGCAGGGAGGGTACTTGACTCGCACATGGCCAACTCGGGTTCAATCTCCAGCACCTCATAGGGGCCCCTGCCAGGAGTGATCACTGAGCACAGAGACAGGAGTAAGCCCTGAGCACCACTGAGTGCAGCCAAGAAAAACAAAAACAACCAAGCAGACAGTGGCCAGTGATGAGGTGGAAAGGTCAGCGGGCCTGTTCACACAGGCTCGTGGACCCTGTCCGCAAAGTGAAGACTTTCAACTTTGGGCCCGGACTCAGGACGCAGGTCAGGGTTTCGGGAAAGCCAATCAGGAGAGGGAGGGAGGTGAGGAGAGAGGCCTAAAAGGGGCCAGTCAGGGCCAGATATGGGGAAGCCCAGGATCTAGTCCAGGCAGCACTGGTCTTAGCCCTGAAGCAGGGGCAGAGGCAGGCTAGGGGACAGCCACTCCCAGGCCTGGCCCATCTGGACCGGCTTCCTTCCACCAGGCTGCCGGGACGGCTACTCACCCAGCCGGGGCAGGTACTTCTTCCGCTGTTCCTCGCTGCCGTAGGCGTAGATGGGATGCATGACCAGGGATGACTGAACACTCATTGCTGACCTATAGCCGCTATCCACTCGCTCCAGCTCCCGGGCCAGGAGCCCATAGGCCACAGATGAGACCCCGGCGCAGCCATACCCTAGCAGGAGGAGGGGAGGACCACAATGGGGTCCCAAGTTGAGACCCATGACTCCTGAGGCCCAAGTGACAGATTCAATAGGGGTGGGAGGTGCCATACTAGTCTGAGTTGGAGGTTTTCTGCACGGGCGCAGGAGGAAGAGACCAGCAGCTCACTCTAAGGAGCAGGAGGACGAGTGGCCCAGCGGAGAGAAACAGGCCCCTACCTTTGATGGTGGGGCCCAGCACGCCAAGCTCCCCCATCTCCGAGATGATCTCGCGATGAAACACTGCAGAGGGACAGAAAGAAGCTGGCATTCTGAGCCTGTGGCAGTCCCATCAGGACCCTGTGCCAGGACCTGAGGGGCAGCTGGGAGGGTCGGATTGGAGGGCACCGCGCACCTTCATTGCGGTTGGCCAGCAGAATGCGGGGCATGAGGCGCTCCTGGCAGTAGGTGCGGAAGGTGTCCCTGATGAGGATCTCATCTGCTGTCAGCTGCTCCTCCAGCTGCAGCGGGTCTCTCCAGTCAAACTCGGGCCGAGAGGCTGGGGGAACGAGGGTGACTAGAACCCCAGAACTTGAAGCCCGACCCTCAGCTCGCCCCTAGCGGATGTGCACTGCAAAAGGAACCCTCTGAGCGGCCTTTCGCTAGGGTTGGGGGCACAGACCGCTGGACAAGGGCTGCAGACGCCCGGGCACGACAAAGGGATCCTTACCCTTGGCCGCCCGGCTCTGTGTCTTCCCACTCTTCTCTGCAAACACAGCGCGAGAAAGTCACCCCGGGAAGCCGGCCGAGCCCCAAGTCCCTTGCTCACGCCCCTCCCCGTCCTGGGCTCGCAACTGACCGGTCTGGGCCGCCGCCGAGCCCCACGCACGCAGGCCGCGCAGGCGGGGGCCGCGGCTCAGCAGCCGCGCAGAGACGCTTCTCAGGGCCATGTGGGCAGCGGGCGGGCGAGTGGAGCAGCCAACCTGGAGGAGCAGGGCGTGAGGCTCGAGCGGCCGCCACCCGTAGCCCCGGCCCCTGGTCAGTCCTTACCAGTTCTTACCACGGGTGCGCCTCGCTGGCCACGGAGCAACACTCTCGGGATTTTGACCTCAGGCGGGGGTGGGCGGGGCGGAGGATCAGTGAGGCTTCTCATTGGCTTGTCCCAGCACGGGGCTTCCTCACGGCTCTGCCTTTTAAAAGGGACGTGTCACCGTTGCCCGCGTCAGCAGGTACCCTTCGGGCAAAGTCAGGTTGGCCCCTTTAAGTCCTGGAATTCGGAGGGGGCGGAAGGAGAGCGCGGCAACTCGATTGGTTAGCCGTATTGCCGCTCTGATTGGTCTGGGGAGCCCGCTCGGTCTGCTCTTGGTTGGTCAGTTGCAGGGGGCGTGTTTGCGGAGTTAAATAAGGCAACTGAGGCACGAGAACTCTTGAGACTTCTGCGCCTCTTCTAATCGGATTCGGTGTGTGTGTGCAGGGGGGACGAAGAGGAGAGAGTCTGACACTGGTGGGCGATCCCAACACAGATTGTGCTCCAACTTGTCCCAGGAGGCGCAAGGAGGCCGTGGGGCCTCACCTGCTCTAATTCTCTGCATCACCCACAGGTTACCTGCATACAGAGGATGTGTACGGGTTATGCCCGTACTTGTTCGTGTTCATAAGAACTTTTTTTTTTTTTCTTTTTGAGTCACACCTGGCAATGCACAGGGGTTACTCAATGCAAACTCCTGGCTCTGCACTCAGGAGTTACTCCTGGCGGTGCTCAAAGGACCATATGGAATGCTGGGAATTGAACCCAGGTCAGCCGCATGCGAGGCAAACTCCCTACCCGCTGTGCTATCTCTCCAACCCCTTGTTCCTGTTCTAAGCTTGTGTGATGGTATTGTGTGTGATGGTATGACTGTATTTCTGTGTGTGTGGCTCTGTTTTTATGGGTTTCTTCTAGGTGTGTGGCTGTTCTCTGGTTTCTTAATAGGACTGGATATATGTCTGTATGTGTATGTACTTATTTCTCTCTCTCTCTCTCTCCCCCTCCCCCCCAATGAGGAAAAAACGAGACCTGAGGGAGTAGTAGTTATGCTCACAGAGGTAATTTTGGGTTTGGGGGCCACTACTGCCCCGAGGCCCCACTATATTCTTGGAATAGCCCACGTAGTCAAAGATGGAACCTAGTCCAGCTGCATGCAAGTCAGACATCTTAAACCTTGTCTTATCTCTTCAACTTTTATTTTTTATTATTTTTTTAGGATAACATTTTTTCCATTTTTTATACTTTTATTCATTGAATCACTGTAAGAGCAGTTACAAAGCTTTCGGGTTTAAGTCTCAGTCATACAATGAAACACCCGTACCTTCACCAGTGCCCATTCTCCACCACCAAAAACCCCCCAGTATACCCCCATCCCAAACCCTCCCCCTATCTGTGGGGCAGATGATTTCCACATTACTCTCTCTCTACTTTGATTACTTTCAATATTTTGACACGAGACCCACCATTATTGATTTGGGATTTTACCCCAACACTCAGATCTGCCGAAAAGGCAATAATAGACAATTTTTTTTCTATTGCTGGTTATGAATAACATATGATGTTGCACGGCTGTAGTAGTGGCTGCGTGATTTTGAAATTCCAAAATTTTAACAATTAAATCTGGGGGGATTTCTTGCCAAAATCTGCTGGGTTCTAAGATTTGTTCCTGAATCTCTGGGATCATGGCCATTAAGCAGCTTGATCAGGAGTCAGTGAGGCCATTCGTGGGTGGTGACTTGGGGGTCTTGTTGGAGGAGGAGGAAAGGGCCGGCTCCACCCCCATCCCATGATGCCCCACGTGCCTTGTCACTGTGGGCCCAAACCTGACTGTCCAATGGCCTCTGGAAGATGGTGGCCACCGAGCCGCCAAGGGGGAGCAGGTGGAGGAACAGTACCTTTCCACCCCCCACCCCGGGTGGCCCAGCGACAGTAACCTACTGCGCAGTCCAGATGTATTTCTGCCAAAAGTTGCTGGGTTCCGAGATTTGTCTCTGAGTCTCTGGGATCATGGCCATTAAGCAGCTTGATCAGGAGCCAGAGAGGCCATTCATGGGCAGCGACTTGGGGTTTCATTGGGGTGGGGAGGAAAGGACCAGCTCCACCCCCATCCCGTGAGGCTCCGCGTATCTCATCACTGAGGGCCCAAACCTGACTGTCCAGTGGCCTCTAGAGGATGATGGCCATCAGGCCGCCAGGGGGAACAGGCTAAGGCACGAAACCTATCCCACCTGGGGTGGCCCAGTGCCGGTAACCTACTGCAGGGACCGGACACATTTCTGCCAAAAGCCATTGGCTTTCGAGATTTGTTTCTGAGTCTCTGGGATCATAGCCATTAAGCATTTTGATCAAGAACCAGAGAGGCCATGCCTCCAATTATATAGCTGAGCCGGAGGTGGTTTGTGGGTGTGTCTCCCACATACCTAACTTTTGGCAGTTTACTTTCTTGGCAAACTTTGCCCCAAGTTTTTGGGGTCTGGCCAAAGGCACAGCAGCAATACTGGGGTATCTGGAAGTCTGAAGGCACCATCAGGCTGTTGATGCACTCGCCTCACAGGTACAGATTGACCTGCTGGAGGCACTATACCCCCTTCTCTTCAGCTTTTAAACTGATTTTTAAAAATACTTTAGGGCTGGAGCAGGGAAGGAATTTGCCTGGCATGTGACAGACCCGGGTTCCCTCCCTGGCATCCCAAAGGGTCACCAAGGACTGCCAGGAGTAATTCCTGAGTGCAGAGCCAGGAGTAAGCCCTAAGTATCATTACTGGCTGTGACTAAAAAAAAGACTATTCCTCCTCCCACCTGATAGTACACGATAATTTTTTTTGGTCTTTTTGTGTGATGCATTTACAGCCCACTCACTCCAATAATGTGTGGGTCTACGCTGGAGGTTGTGACTCAGTTCAGCGTCTAGTAGTTGTCTGATTTTGACCAGGTGCGCCCCCTGCTGCTGAGGATTGGCAATGCAATAGTGTTACTAAAGAAGGTGAGGACCAGGGGTTTGTCCCTAGCAAAAGGACACATGAGCCAAATCCTGACTTGGATCTCTGGCACTGCTTGGCCCCCAGTCACCACTGGGTATGGGCCTGAAAGCCTCTAAACTCCACCTGGTGTGGCCTCCTTCTCCACATCCCTAATGATGTGTGCTACGGGTGCGGTGCAGCGTTGGAGCACTGGCCATGCATGTGAGGGGCCCTGGGTTCAAGTACCAGCAACATACGGTCCTCTAAGTGCCAAGGAGCTCTGCACACGGCTGGGTGTGACCCTTCCACCACACACACACACAGATACACAAATGTGTGTCAGTGACGGGAGGCGGGACCTGTATGGTTGTAAACTTTACACAATGTTGCCTGTGATTGTATGTGGCGTTGTGTCACTGCGTTTTTGTGCATGATTGTGTGTTTCATAGCCTGTTCATATTCTGGGAGCTTGGGTGACCGTACAACCTCCACTTTTGTGCAGACATATCCAGGAATCCCAAGTGTTTGCATAATTGTAGCTAAAGTGTGTTTGTCGTCCCCTGTGTGAGAATGTGCCGTGTGGAGTGGGCTTACCACCTGTGTATGCATGAATTTATACGAATTTCTATATTCTTTCTGGTTTGGGACCACCTGGTGGGGCTCAGGGGACCATAAGTGGTGCTTGTGAACAGACAAGTACTTTACCACTGTACTCTGTCTCTGACTCTGGAATTATTTTTTGTTTTGTTTTGTTTGGGGCCACACCCAGGGGTTTGTCTTGGCTTTGCAGGGATCACTCCTGGCTGGCTCAGGGGACCCTCTGGGGTGCCGGGGATCAAACCCAGGACTGTTATATGTGGGGCAAATTCCCTACCTGCTGTACTATCACTCCAGCCCCTCTGGCCCTGGAAATCTCTTACTGCAGGCATTGTGGGGGACAGTAGGTACCGGCACCATGGATAGCTGTACTTTGGTGTTTGTCGATTGCGTGTCTGTGCATGGTCTAGGAGACAGAGAACAATTATCTGCGCAGAGCTCCCCGTTCTGCCTGATAAAGGGAGCAGAAATTGGCGCCACTTTGCCAATGCAGAGTGTGTGTGTGACTCTGAACATACGCCCGTGTTGTGTGTCCACGCTGCCCACTGGGCTCCCAGGCCACCAGCAGAGGTACCTAGTACAGAGGCTCATGTTCCTCCCCCTCGGAGGTCAGAAAGGGCCAGAGAGATACTGCAGCAGATAAAGAGCTTGCCTTGCACATGACTGACCTGGGTTCAATTCATGACACTACATATGGTCCCTTGGGCACCTCCAGGAGTGATCCTTGAGCACAAACTCAGGAGTAAGCCCTGATCACGGCTGGGTATGGTCCCCCATACCAGATAATAAGAAAAATGGGGCTGGAGCAATAGTATAGCAGGTAAGGCACTTGCCTTGCACACAGCTGACCTGGTTCAATCTCCAGCATCCCTGAGCATGCCAGGAGTAATTTCGCAGTGTACAGCCAAGAGTAACCCCTGAGCATCACCAGGTGTGACGTGTGTGTGTGTATTTGTTGATGGCATGCCTGTGCATGGTCTAGATTGCCCCCAAAAGACAAAATTTAGCAGCTGCTGGGCCCTGTCGATTGCGGAGACTGGGGCATCTGTCCAGCAGGTCAGCCACTTCCGGTCCTGACTCTCGAGTTTCCCCACACAGGAGGGGCATCTCTCCACATGCCACAGCTGAAACACCACCAGCTGCCAGGGGCTTCAGAGTTAGAGGCTGCTCTGGGCCCCCATCCTGGGTTGCTTCAAAGTCAGGAAGCATGAAGTGAGGGTGCAGACCAAGCGCTCATGGCCATGAGACTTGGAGCCTGGGCTGACAGGCGGGCGCCCTCCTGATAGCACTCCGAAGCATCTGCGGCGGCTGATAATCCTCAGCTTGGCAGACGGTTCATGCCAAGTCCCGCCATCAGCACAGTGGCCCCTGTGTATGGGGCTCAGGAGGGGGGCTGCGTGGTCCCAGTCGGGTGGGGCTTAAAGTCCCTTCCCAGAAATCCCATCATGCCTGTCCCCCTTCTTGGAGGCGTTTGTGGGGGGCAGGACCCACCCAGTGACTCCTCCTCTGAACATCCTGGGTCTCATTTCATACACCTCCTGGAACCCCAATATTTAACACCCCCAACCTCTGAACGCCCAACTGCTGACATCTCATGTGGCTTGGGCACTGGCTGTGTCTGGAGGCTCACCACACAGGTCGAGGTGAGCTCTGTCCCCCAGAAACAGCGATCCCCTCCTTGCCTGCCCTTATCAGGGGCTGCAGCCAATCAGCTGAAGGCGGCGCGGAGGCTCCGAGGGGCCATAGGCGCCTCAGAACCCACAAGGCGGCCAAGGGAGAGGAGGCCTGAGGTGGCGGTGGGCTGCGGCATGGCCACGGCGGACACAGCCTTGCCGTCCTTCAGCACGCTGACCACCCTGGGTCCCTTCCTGGATTCACAGGATGACTTCCTCAAGGTGGGCTCAGGGGGGCTGGGGTCCCTGGCTGCGGTCACGGAACCAGGGGTTCATGCGCAACTTTCCAAGGATCCCCATCCAGGCCAGGGATCCGAATGTGGTCACAGAGGGGGGTTTTGTGTCTCAGGAGCTTGAGACGGGGAGCGGAGTGTGGAGTAGACCCCAAATACAGAGGAATGATGAATATGTTTAGGGGACATCTGGGGATTAATCTTGGAAGTCTCTTAATGGGGTTCAGTGAAGGAGAGGGAAATTCAATGGGTAAACCGAGGCAGGGCTATGTTCCCCCGCCCCCGCCATTCCATCCCTGGCACCCCTTCCCCCAGGCCTGCGTGCGGTTCCAGATACTGTGAGCTTATCTCCTCCCTCCAGCCAGCCAGAGAGGCTCGGAGCTAGGAGCTGGGGGGGCGGGAGGGGCCCCCACTGCGAGACAGGCCAGCACAGGACCCCATGCCTGGGAGCCTGGCGCCTTGCTCCATTGGGGGCTACCTGGCCTCCTGTGTCCCTGGTCATTGGAAGCCTCACGCTGCTGTCCTGGCTCCCTCCCCGCAGTGGTGGCGCTCAGAGGAGGGACAGGACCTGGGGCCTGGCCCGCCGGAACCGCCCCTCCACGTGAAACAGGAGTCGGAGGATGTACCCTCGAAGGAACAAGAGGATGCGAGAGACACGGTCAGCGCCTGGGACCTAGACCTTCTCCTCACCAACTTCCAGTGCCCAGAGCCGGGAGGCGCAGCCCAGGCCTGCTCTCGGGCACCCGCTGAAGGTCCGGGGGCTCAATTCCCGCCGCCCCCTGAGACTATCGGAGCCTATGCGGGCAGCCAGGGGCTGGTGTCTGGGTTCTTGGGTCCCGAAGAGCATCCAAGCTGGGCGCGCGCGGCGCCCCGAGCCCCAGTCCCTGATGCCTTCGTGGGTCCAGCCCTGGTCCCGGCCCCCGAGCCAAAGGCGCTGCCTTTGCATCCGCTGTACCCGAGTCCGGGGGCGGCCACCCCGAGCAGCTACTTCCCGCGGACCGGCCTTTCTGTGCCCACAGCACCGGGCGCCCCCTACGGGCTGCTGTCCGGGTACCCTGCGCTGTACTCGGCGCCGCAGTACCAAGGGCACTTCCAGTTCTTCCGCGGGCTCCGGGCTCCCGCGTCAGGACCCGTCGCGAACCCCTCCTTCCTAAGCCGTCTGGGGTCCGGCTCAGCGAGTGTAGGACTCGCGTGGAACACAGGAGAGTCTGGAGGAACCGGGGAGACCGCAACCTCCAAGCGCAGCCGGAGCTCGTGCCCGCGCAGGAAGCAGGCGGCGCACGCGTGCACGCACCCGGGCTGCGACAAGAGCTACACCAAGAGCTCGCACCTGAAGGCGCATCTGCGCACGCACACGGGTGAGAAGGCGGGGCCGGGGCGGGGAAAGGGGCGGGGCCAGAGGGGAAACGGGGCAGCGGACTGGCTACACCAGGGCGGGTCCGCGCACGGGGCGGGACCATGCGATTGGGGGCGGGGCCTGTAGTTTATTGGCTAACGGAAGAAGGTTTTGGTCTGAGGCATGGGACTCTGGGCACTGGGTAAAGGCGTCTCAGGAGTAAGGTCAAAGCATCCGCCGCACAATGCGGGTTCGGGAGGCAAGTAGACACTGAGGACTGGCAGGGGTGCTGTAGCAGAAGACTGATGGGAACAGGCTGAGGAGCAAAAAGTCTGGTACCTAAACGTAGAGAGAAGAGCCCCGCACCAAGTGCGGGTAGGGACTAGCTTGGTATGCCAGGGATGTGCTATTATGGAGCAAGCAGAGTTTGGGGACTCAGGGGCTGCAGCCACGGCTGCATTTGCCAAGGGGCATACAAACTGTAGGGGATGTAGCTAGGTTCTTGTCAGAGACCTGTACATGAATGAAGAAACTGGGAAAGAAAGGGTGGTGATCAGTCATAAGAAAAGCTGGATAGGGGCTGGAGCGATAGTACAGCGGGTAGGGTGTTTGCCTTGCACGCGGCCAACCTAGATTTGATCCCCGGCATCCCATAGGGAACCCCCGTGCACCGTCAGGAGTAATTCCTGAGTGCAGAGCCAGGAGTAACCCCTGAGCATCTCTGGGTGTGACCCAAAAAGCAAAAAAGAAAAAAAGAAAGGAAGAAAGAAAAGCTGGATCCCAAGTCAAAAACAAGGTGGGACAAAGAGGAAAAGGAGGAGAAATGAGGTCTATATTTGGAGATACACCCAGAGAACGGGTGCTGGGGTGTAGCACAGTTAAGTTTTTCTTGCCTACTATATTTGAGACTCTGTGCTGTATCATTCTCACACACACGTAGCATCCCAAGGCACAGGTGGGAAAGACCAGGTTGGCAAAAGTGCCAAAGCCTGGAGTATCAAGTGGAGGTCCCAGATCAGGGGCAGAGCTGGGCAGCAGCTAGAGGGTCCCTTGTAAGCTGGAAAAGAGGGCCGGCACCAAACGAAAAGATGGGATGGATTTGGGATGCAGGGAAGAGTATGAGGGAACAGAAGGTGTGGCAAAGGTAGGGTCTTGGACTTAGGAAAGGAAAATGGGCGTGGGCAAGATGCCAGGGTGCAGGCAGAGAAGAAGGCTAAGTCTCTGGGGGCGCAGGGGGAGCTTCGTGCTGAAGAAGAGTCCACTTGGAATCTTAAGGGTCAATTTGCTTCATCTTGACTTTGGCTAAGGCTGAGCACATGAGTTCAGCAGCCCCAGGGGTGGGAGGCCCCGGTATGGGGTGGTATTGGACAGACGATGGTGCTTACTTTCCTCATTGCCCTCCAGGGGAGAAGCCCTATGCCTGCACGTGGGATGGATGTGGCTGGAAGTTTGCCCGCTCAGATGAGCTAACCCGCCATTACCGGAAGCACACAGGACAGCGTCCCTTCCGCTGCAGGCTCTGCCCGAGGGCCTTCTCACGCTCCGATCACCTGGCTTTGCACATGAAGCGCCACCTCTGAGCTCCCGTCCTGCCACTTGGACCTTCCATGGACAGGGATGGAACAAGACCTCATTGGGGTTTCCTCTCTGGAGGACCCTAGCCCAGTCCTACAAAGCCACTGAAGGCCCAAGGACAGGCTCAGAGTCAGGGGAGCCTGTGAGAGAAGCTCCCTCGTCTCCAGAAACAAGAACCAGAGAAAGACACCCAATGGTCACAGTGACAATGTGTTACCGACCTCGGATTCAGGGGGAAACTCACTCTGGATAGACTCACCTGGGATGACCCAACTCACAGTGGGCTTGAAAGGGGGCAGGGCTGTGGGCTGAGGCTTCCCAGAGACCCTGGTCTGAGGGGTGGGGGCACACTCCATGACCTGCAGGGGTCTATAGTCTGCTGTGAATAGCTTTGGCCCTGTCAAAATGTCTCTGCCAGATAAAGCTTCAGTGTTGGCCTGATTTTGTGGGTTTTGGGATCTGAAAGAGGGGAGGAGGCTGAGAGCCTCCTCAGAGATACTTATGGGGATCATGTGCCTCTTGCACTGCAGGCGTGTCACCCTCCTCCCACCCCTCAGCCCATCAGGGTACAGGCTTGAATTCCAGGGACATTCACGGGCACTGGTCACTGCATTTCATACCCTCAGGCCAGCCCCAGAGCACTTCCGATACACCAGTAGTGAAAGAGACCCCTTGCTTTGTTCAAAGGGTACCCAAAAAAGACAAGCAGAGTTAAAGACCCTCCAGAAAAAGGGGGCTGTCAGATGCAAGCGCCTCCTGAGAGTCCAGGTCAGTTGGAGACAGTACAGGGTTAACCCCTTGTATGCAGCACCCTATGATTCCCCAGCGCATCCCGAGATAGTCGCTCAGTACTGCCGGGGTGGCCCCCAAACAAAACGAGAGACAGAGAAAAAGTAACAAGTATTAGACTTAAGACTGTGAAACAGAAAAAAGAATATTCAGGGGCTGGAGTGATAGCACAGCGGGTAGGGCGTTTGCCTTGCATGCGGCCAAACCGGGTTCGATTCCCAACATCCATTATGGTCTCCCGAGCACCGCCAGGGGTAATTCCTGAGTGCAGAGCCAGGAGTAACCCCTAAGCATCGCCAGGTGTGACCAAAAAGAATATCCAAATTCGTGTCTGATCACCAAACCTGGGGAGACTCGGGGTGCGGCGGAAGTCGGCCTTGCAATTAGAGCCACTTGGGGAGGCGGAAGCGGGGCGAGGGGAGAGGGGAGAGCTGTGATTGGTCCAGAGGGGAGTCGGAGTCGGGCCTGAGGTCACCTGACCACTGGGGGCGACACTGGAGCCGAGCTAGAGGGCGGGGCCTAGCTAGCGGTCCGGGTGGGCGTGGACGCGTGGCGCGAAGCCCCGCCCCCGGCGGGCCGCTGCCGCCTTTTCAATCTCTGCGTCTCGCTGAGCGGGCGGAGTCTCCGCACTCAAAGATGTCTACGCACTGGTTCCCCGACCGGTTTGGGGAAGTGGAAGTCTCTGGGGGCCGGACCTGCCCCAGCTCGTGACCCAGCGCCCTGCGGCCCGGATACTGGTCCCTCGACCCTCGTCAGCTCCATGGCCGCCTTGAGCCCGCTGCTGCTGGCCGCGCTGCTGTGGGTCCCTGCAGGGACCCTGACTTGCATCGGGGACTCTGGCGGGCCAGTGGACTGGTGAGTGCGTCGGTGCTGATCATGCCCCGGGTTGGACCGGAGACCGCTGCGCTCCTGGGTGAAGCCTTGGCTAACTTTTCTTCCTCCTCCTGCCTTCTTCCTCCTCTGTGCGTTCCCCAAACTGCAGGTTCGTTGTTTACAAGCTTCCGGCCCACAGCGGGCCCGGGGCGGCCGGGCAGACGGGTCTGCGGTACAAGTACTTGGACGCCAGTTCCGGGGGCTGGCAGGAGGGCGTGGACTCCATCAGCAGCTCGCAGGGCGCGGTGGGTCGCACTCTACTGCCGCTGTACCGGAACAACGCCAGCCAGGTGATAGAGCGCGGGGCTGACATGTGGGGGCCAGGAGAGGGGCTGGATTTGGAGGAAAACCTTAACAGTGCAGCTCCATCTCCCGCTCCAGCTCGCCTTCTTGCTCTACAATGACCAACCTCCTAATTCCACAGCGGATGAGGCCGTTTCCAGCCGGGGGCACACGAAGGGTGAGACTTTGGGTGTCTAAGCGTTTCTCAGTTAATAATACCTGGGCGTGGGCCAGAGGGATAGCACAGCGGGGAGGGCGTTTGCCTTGCACACGCCAACCAGATTTTGATCCCCGGCAGCCCATAGGTTCCCCCGAGCACCACCAGGAATAATTTCTGAGCAGAGCCACAAATAACCTCTGTGCAGAGCCAGATGTGGCCCCAAAACTCAGTCATAACTGGGCAGGGCTGGAGAGAGAGTACAGCGAGTAGGGCGCTGGTCTTGCATAGAGACCTGGGTTCTGCCTCAGCATCCCATCTGGTCCTCTGAGTCCTGACAGGAGTGATCCCTGAGCACAAATTCAGGAACTAGCCCTGCATGCCACTGGGTGTGGCCCCTGAACAAATACTGGGGCAGGTTGGGATGTGTGGTGGGCCTGAGCATTTCCCAACAGTATCTGTGTGGGGTGGGGGTATGGCGAACCCCAGCCCTCTGCCTCATGTTAATGCTCTTTCCTGCTGCCTGGGGAATGGAGGTGTGGATAGAGCGTGGCATGTCCCACACCTGCTCCCCTGCCCAGGGGGACATGCGCCTGCTGGAGGCCTCTGCAGTGGCCTCATCACTGTCTCTGACCCAGGGGTGGTACTCCTGGATCAACAAGGGGGCTTGTGGCTGATACACAGCGTGCCGCGATTTCCTCCGCCTGCCTCCTCTGGCGCCTACCACTGGCCCCCCAACGCCCGAACCTACGGGCAGATGCTACTCTGCGTGTCTTTTCCCCTGGGCCAGTTTGTGGCGATTGGTGAGTGTGGACAGGCAGGCGGTGGGGAGGCCCATTTCCAAGCCTGTAAGTGGAACCCAGGGCCCCTTCCTCATCTTCTCCTGCCCTCTGGCTCCAGGCAGACAGCTGACCTACACTTACCCCCTGGTGTATGACAAGCAGCTGGAAGGACCCTTCGCTGAGAAATTCCCGGACCTGGTAGAGGTGATAAAGGGCCACCATGTTCGCCAGGGGCCCTGGAACAGCACTGTGACACTCACGTCCCAGGCTGGGGCCACCTTCCAGAGTTTTGCCAAGTTTGGAAAGTTTGGAGATGGTGAGCCCTGGGTTTGAGGGCTTTAGGCTCTGTAATGGGGTGTCCATGTGCCCCTCTCTGAGGCAGGTGAGGGACATGGGTCCTCCCCAGGGAGTAGAGTCGGCCTGGGTGCAAAGTTTCTGCTTGGAGGAGGTGGGTTTTTTGTTTCTTTGTTTGCTTGGTTTTGGCTTTTTGGGTCACACCTGATGCTCAGGTGTTACTCCTGGCTCTGCACTCAGGGATTATTCCTGGCGGTGCTCGGGGAACCCTATAGGATGGTGGGCACTGAACCCGGATCGGTCACATACAAGGCAAATGCCCTCCCTGCTGTGCTATCGCTCTGGCCCCTGTGTTTTCTTTTTCCCTTCCATATTTTGGGTCATACCTGGTCACCCCTGAGGGTGTGCTCAGGGCCTGCTCCCAGTGGCTTTGGGACCGTGCAGTGCAGTGACTGAACTCAGCCTTCCTGCTTGCCAAGCGTGAGCTCAGCCAATTGAGCGTTTCCTCTGGCCTCTGATATGTAATTTAACTGGAACCTGAATTTCCCCATCTGAAAAATGGGGAGATTGGTATCTGCATATTGTTTTGTGTTGTCCTTTGGGCCTCACCCAGCAGTGCTCAGGGTTTATTTCTGGCTCTATGCTCGGAGATCACTCCTGGTATGTGCCAGGGTTTGAACCCCGGCCAGCTTAGGTAATACCTTACCTGCTCCACTTCCTTTCCTACCCCCACTCCCCATAACAGCTAACTAATTTGCGTGCTTGCTTGCTTGCTTGCTTTCCTTGGCTTTTTGGTGACGATGGATGGTTTCCAAGGTTTACTCCTGGCTCTGTGTTCAGGGATCACTCTTGGCAGGCTCAGGGGACCATATATGGTGCCAGGGATTAAACCCAGGTTAGACTCATGCAAGGCAAGTGCTTCACCTGCTGTACTAACGCCCTGGCACCCTGACATTTGCTTTAAAGGGTCATTGTGAGGGACCAGAGAACTCTCCTGTGTCTTCGCCCTTTATTTTGTGGTGCCCAGCATTGAATCCAGGGCTCCACAGAAGCAGGGCAAATGCTCCACTTCTAAGCCGTGTCCTCGAACACCACGTGGAGCCGTTGGATGTAGCCCTGGTCTGAGCACCGCTGGGCTAAGTTTCTCCAGGAGTGACAAACACCACTGAATATAGCTCCTATTTATTTTTTAATTTTTTTTGTTTGTTTTTTGGGTCACACCTGGCGATGCACAGGGGTTACTCCTGGCTCTGCACTCAGGAGTTACTCCTGGCGGTGCTCAGGGAACCATATGGGATGCTGGAAATCGAAACCGGGTCGGCCGCGTGCAAGGCAAACGCCCTACCCGCTGTGCTATCTCTCCAGCCCCCACTTCTATCTATTTTTTTAAGAAGGGAAGATAAAGGGCCAGAGCGATAGTATGCTGCGGTGGATCCCTGCCAGCATGCAGCCCACCGGGTTCAATCTCCGGCATCCCTACCGTCCTCCAAGCACTGCCAGGAGTGACCCCTGAATGCAGAGTTAGGAGTAAGCCCTGAACATCACCAGGTGTGGCCCCAAAACAAACCTAACAAGGTGGGACCTGGGGAAATGATTCCAGAGGCAATGTTCCTGTGTTGCGTGAGGGAGAGCTCGCATGGATGTGACTTTTGGCTTTTGTTTGGGCTTGGCTCAGGGCTTACTCCCTGCTTGGTGCTTTGGGTATACTCCCGGAGGTGCTCAGACAACCAGATGCAGCACAAGGGATGGAACCACCCCAATGGGCTGCATGTGAGTTGGACTCCTCAAGTCCTGCAAGTCCTGCGCTGAATCTCCGGCCTGAACCAGGGTCTGACGCCGGCACTGTGTGGTCTCCCTGTAGCACCTCTGGGGGTTGCCTATCCCCCCTACACCCACCCTATTGTTTAGTCAGGCTGTTAATCCTCAGAATCCGGGGACCAGAACAGAGCATGCCTCTGACGTGGGGTTGACCCACCTCCATAAGGCATGACTGGGGCCCCAAGCATCCCAGGATGGTCTGGGTCATCTCCGTCATGGCAGGGGTCAGGCACACCTTGTCCTTGGACCCAGGCATTGAATTGCAGGGTGTAGCACCCAGACCACCGCTTGGGAGGTCCCCAATCCCCCCCCAAATCTATATAATCTGTAGCTGCCCCAGGTGACCAAGAACTGAAACTGGGGGCTCTGAACTGAAAGAGGGGACGTAGCCTAGGGAAGCCCTGGTGGGGCCCCTGACCTGCCTGTGCCCTCCTTCCTTTCTCTGCAGACCTGTACTCTGGCTGGCTGGCAGAAGCCCTGGGCAGCGACCTGCAGGTGCAATTCTGGCCCAATTCCCATGGCATACTGCCCTCCAACTGCTCTGGGGCCTACCATGTGCTGGATGTGACCCAGACCGCCTTCCCTGGCCCCGCCGGGCCCAGCTTCAGTGCCACAGAGGACCACTCCAAGTGGTGTGTGGCCCCCAAAGGACCCTGGGCCTGTGTGGGCGACATGAATCGGAACCTTGGGGAAGAGCACCGGGGTGGGGGCATCCTGTGTGCCCAGCTGCCCGCTCTCTGGAAGGCCTTCCAGCCGCTGGTGAAGACCTGGGAGCCCTGTCAGGGTGGTTGGCCTTCTCACCTGTGGGCAGCACCAACTGTGACTCAGTCTGCTCATCTGTGAAATGGGCAGCAGGGTGGTGCTGAAGAGATAGTGTAGTGGATAGGGTGTGTATCTTGCACTCAGTCCACCCGGGATTGATAACTGGCGTCCCATATAATTTCCTGAGCACTGACTGGAGTAATTCCTGAGAGCAGAGCCAGGAGTAACAGGAGTAAGTTTTGAGCTCTGCCGGGTGAGGCCCCCAAACCAAAACCAAAGAAAACAAAACATTATCATTAAAAAAAAAAAATGGAGAGGGAGCAGACTAGCTACCTCTGATTACTAGAAAAATAAAAGGATTTGGAAGATGGTGCTGTTGACCCTCTGTTTGGGGGGTGCAGGGCTTCAGAACAGAAATGGGGGGCCGGAGCAACGTAAGTATATGGCTGACCCTGGTTTGATTCCCAGCATCCCTTATGGTCCCCTGAGCATGGCCAGAAGAAATTTCTCAGTGTAGAGCCAGGAGTACCCCTGAACCTCGTGCGGTGTGCCCCCCGAAGAATAACTGCATCCCACGCAGAGATGGCTGTTCTTGCTGGGGAGGGAATGGGGAGCCCCAGGATGCTCCCAGGGCATGGGGAGTGCTTTATGTTGTGCATATGTACAGAGCACAGGACGCACTGGTTTAAAAGTTGGTATGTGCGTTGCGAAAGGGGTAGTGAGCCCGCTGCCAAGAGTGCGCACCCAGACCTACCCCTGTGAGCATCCTGTCCACTGGTCCCAGAGTTGAGGAATCAGCTCCCCCCACCTTACCCCACCCCATTACACTGACCCTGACCCCCAGGATGCTCGCACTCCTCATATGGCCTCACAGTCTGACCTGCAGCCTCACCAGCGCCCCACCTACCGTCTGCTCCTGTGTGCCCCGGGTGCTGAACATGCCCTGCTCCCCTTTCCAATCTGATCCAGCGTCCCCCTATATCCCACCTGAGGCTGTCCCAGACCCCATGCACCAGCTCGTCATCTCTCCAGACCCCCATGTTAAACCGGGCCGGGTCTCCCCAGAGGAATCACACGAAGACAAGTCGCGATGCAATAAGCAAAGGGTCTGTATTGGCTAGCTCGAGCTAGGGCCCTCAACCTCCTCACCAACACAGGGGCAGCCTTCTCGGAACGAGCGGTCCCAAGTCTCAAAAGTGAGCGGCTTGAAAGTAGACTATAGACCAAACATGATTGTCACCCATTGCCTCTTTTGCAAACCACAACACTCAATAAGAGAGAGAGAAGAAAAGGGAATGCCCTGCCACAGAGGCAGGGGTGGATGGGGGGGAAGGGGGGTGGGAGGGATACTGGGATCCGTGGTGGTGGGAGATGGGCACTGGTGGAGGGATGGGTATTTTGATCATTGTATAATTGGAACCCAAGCACAAAAATGTGTAAGTCTGCAACTGTACCTCATGATGTCCCACTATTAAAAATAATATATATATTTAAAAAAAAGTGAGCGGCTTTTATACCATAACATTATGTAACAGGGACTTTCTTCGGACAGCCCTTTTGGCCACAGTCTGAGGGGCTTTCCACTACTGGTACTTAGCTGATTGGTTATAAGTTGGAGTTCTGTTAGAGCTAAGATTCTGTAAGAGTTACATAAGGGTTCTCTGGGGGAGAGGGGGCTTCCCTACCTGCATCTGATTGGTAACCCTTACCTTACCAGGGCTAATTCACTTCAGGGGAACTCATGACTAGATTCCAGGTAACTGCTCAACTCCTGGGATTCGGCAACCGAAACCTAGTTCTACCTTCTTCCGGCTTCTTTATGAGCCTGTCATGGCGCTGCCTTTGCTTGTCCATTTCTCACCCACTGCTCGGGAGTGAGCCCTGGAGTACGGCTCTGCGGATTCATCCAGCAGTGCCTGCCCAGGTGAACCAAACCCAGGCCGACCTGGCCCCGCCCCGTCTCCCCACACCCTCCCCCGGCCCCGCCTCGTCTCCCAGGGCCCCGCCCCTGGGCTTGGGCCCTCTTCTCTGCTAGCCCCGCCCCTTGCATAAACCTTCCTCTGAGTTTAATCTCACCCCCTCCCAGACTTGCCACAGAACACTTTGATTGAAGCACAGAGCAGGAGGGAACTGAAGGGTCTTGGCAAGCTCCTCGTCCGTTTGCTGGTCCTTGTCTTCAGCGTTCTAGGTCCCACCCCTACGTGCCTGCCCATATAGTCTCACTCAGCCACGCCCCAAACAAACCACGGGCCCGTGCGTCCCGCCCCCTCATCTGGCCAATCCTCTGCAGCTGCTGGTCTCACAGCCAATCGGGTCCCAGCCAGGGACCTTTCCCAGTCCTCTGCCCTGTGGGCGGCATCTTCTGAGACCCCGACTTGGGAGGGGCGCAATCCGCGACCCACCAGAATCTGCAATCTGCCACGAATGCCTTTGGGTTCTGTCATAATGTTGCTCCTAGAAAAGCTTCAGCGTTGCCCTGAACTTCTGCGTTTGGGGGACTGGAAGAGAAGAAATTGTACCTGCAGAATCTATGGGGATCGGGGCTGGAACGACAACACAACAGATAGGGCGCTGGCCTTGCACGGTACCAGACCGGGTTCGATTCTCAGCATCTCCTATGGTTCCCGCGCCCGTCCGGAGTGATTCCTGCGTGCAGAGTCAAGAATAACCCCTGAGCACTGCCAGGTGTGGCCAAAACGAGACAAGAATATATGGGGATTAGGAACACCCTTATAATAATAATAATAATAATAATTAAAATAAAGTCCTCCCGTTGTTCATCGATTTGCTCAAGCGGGCCCAGTAACGTCTCCATCATGAGACTTGTTGTTACTGTGTTTGGCATATTGAAATACGTCTCGGGGAGCTTGCCAGGCTCTGCCAGTGTGGGCAGGTACTCTCGGTAGCTTGCCGGGCTCTTGGAGAGGGGCAGAGGAATCAAACTCTGGTCGGCCATGTTGGCCGCTTGTAAGGCAAATGCCCTACCGCTGTGCTATCGCTCTCATCATATGAACATCCGAGACAACCCCCCTCCAGCCCTGCAGACATGTCACCCTCATCCTCTTCACTCCTCACTTCTCATCCCAATCAGGTACAAGATCCAAAGTCTCGTCTTCGACCCATGGATTTCAGAACTTTAGGCCAGATTCACAACCCCTCATTCTGCCAGGAGCCAAAGATACAAAGGCAGCCAGAGGGGCTGGAGTGATAGCACACCGGGTAGGGTGTTTGCTTTGCATGCTTTCGACCCGAGTTCGATTCCCAGCATCCCATATGGTCCCCCGAGCACCGCCAGGAGTAATTCCTGAGTGCATGAGCCAAGAATAACCCCTGTGCATCGCCGGGTGTGACCCAAAAAGCAAAAAAAAAAAAAAAAAAAACACAAAGGCAGCCAGAAAGATGTGCAGAATAAACAGGGGGAGGATCAGGTGCTTGCTAGCCCCAACAAGAGTAAAGGTCACATGAAATGAACTGCAGTCTGTTTGATGAAACAAAAGGAAAAAAACCAAATTTGCATCTGACCTCAAAATCCTGGAAGAAGCACAGTTCTGGGAAAGAGAAAGTTGGAATGACTCCAATTAAAATGTGGGAGCTCCAAAAGAGCTGATCTTTGATTGGCCCAGAGCAAGTGGGAGGTAATTCCTGTCACTGGAGATTCTGGTCATGGTCAAAGCCAACCCGAGGGCATGGGCAGGGCCCCCAATTTACTTCAGAGCTCTGCTTCACCTCTGGAGTCTCCACACTCTGAACATCCTCACATCGGGGTTCCTACTCAGGGAGCATGGGGAAGAGAATGACTTTGGGGAAGTGGCCTAGGCAAGCTCGTGAACCTGGGTCCCACGGTCCTGGGACCCTCCCCAGCCCCTTGGTTGCACTAAGCCTGCTGCTTCTGGCCGTGCTGCTGCTGTGTGTCCCTGCAGGGACCCTGACCTGCATCGGGGATTCGGGCCAGCCAGTGGACTGGTGAGTACATTGGTGTTGTCACGCTCAGGATGGACACTGCTGCCTTGCTGGGCAAAAGAAATGGGAAATTTCCCAGAAAAGACAACTGCTCTCTTTGCTATGCCTCTGTGCTTTCCCCAAACTCCAGGTTTGTCATCTACAAGCTCCCTGCCAAGTGTAAGAACAGCCCTGGAGAGCCCAGTGCACCTGAGGGCTGCACGGATGGTTCTGAAGTGCCTGATGGTCTTCAGTACAAGTACTTGGATGCCAACTCAGGCAGCTGGCAGGATGGTGTGGGCCCCATCAGCAGCCAGCAGGGGGCCCTGGGCCTCACCCTGAGTCCACTCTATGGAGACTATACCAGCCAGGTGACACGGTACAGGGCTGCTGTTGTGGGGGCGCTGTGGTGGGTGGTGGGCTGGAGAAAGCTTCAATGTGCACCGCCATCCCCCCCTGCAGCTCAACTTCCTGCTCTACAATGACCAGCCCCCAACCACCCTGCTCAGTGAGGCCCCCACTGTGACTCATGGACATGCCAAGGGTGAGGTCATACCACATGCTGGGAAAGATTGTTACAAAAAATGTTTCCTCTGCAAAACTTTCACCTGGGCGGGTGGGCAGGGAGCTGAGACCTGGATTCCTGCCTCCTCCTGTTGAGTTCATGCCCTTCCCTGCCACCAGATGCCTGCCCATGGGTTGCTGCTACAAGTCCTGATCCCTGCCTCTGCTTTAGGGCTGGTGCTCCTGGACCAAGATGGGGGTTTCTGGCTGACTCACAGAGTGCCCAAGTTCCCTCCACCTTCCCAAACTCATGAGTACCGCTGGCCCTCCAATGCGCTCCCATATGGGCAGACGCTGCTGTGCGTGTCCTTTCCTCTGGCGCAGTTCTGAAAAATTGGTGAGTGCCGACAGGGGCCTCGTAAGTCCCCGATGTCCAAGGGCCACAGCCTATGACACTGTCCTCATTTTCTGCTGCCTAACCATCAGGCAAACAGCTCAACTACACCTACCCCCCTGGTGTACGACAGTCAGTTGGAGGGGAACTTTGGACAGCTGCTGCCTGAGCTGGCGGATGTGATTCAGGGCCAACACGTGCTCCAGCCCCCGTGGAACAGGAGTGCGACCCTCACATCCAGGGCCGGTGCCACCTTCTGGAGTTTCACCAAGTATACAAAGTTCGAAGATGGTGAGCCCCGAGATTGAGGGATAGGGACTATGAGTATAGGACGGGTGTCTTTGTCTCCAGGTCCTGCTTGGGGTGGGGAGGTGCTGCTGACTTGCTTGTGCCCGCCTTCCTTTCTCTGCAGAACTGTACGCAGGGTGGCTGGCAGCAACTCTCAGCAGTGACCTGCAGGTACAGTTCTGGCGCCGGCGGGTCATGCCCTCCAACTGCTCCGGCCT